ACTTTTATATATGTGTTTATAAAGAAAATATTTTAAGGTGTAAAGTATACAAAGAGAATATTCTAAGGTATAAAGTATACAATGAAAATATTCTAAGGTATAAAGTATACAATGAAAATATTATAAGGTATAAAATATACAAAGAGAATATTCTAAGGTATAAAATAAATAAAGAGAATATTCTCAAATATAAAATATACAAAAAGAATATTCTAAAATATAAAATATTTACAATAATTCTAAATATAATTGTGTTCACATCTTAATATCCCCTCAAACTCAATGTGGTTGTGATGAAACCAACTTGAGTTTGGAAAGAAGAGTACGAAAATATCCAGAAAAATGAGCCTTGGTAACGAGATTTGCTAGTTGATTAGTGGAGCCAATGAAAACCAAATGAATAGTTCCTTGTGCAACATGATGGCGAATAAAGTGACAATCAACCTCAATGTGTTTAGTACGTTCATGAAAGACATCATTATGAGTAATATGCATAGCACTTTAATTATCACAATATAAATCAATAGAAGAAGGTTGAGGAGTGCACATATCTTCAAGAAGCCACCACAATGAAAAAAGTTCTCATGTGGTATCCTCGAGAGCTCTATACTTAGCTTCAGTACTAGACCAAGATGGAATAGTTTGTTTCTTACTCTGCCAAGAGATAAGAGAATTACCAAGGAAAAGATAGTAACCAGTGGTAGATCTACGATCAGAAGGATTACCAGCCCAATCAGTATCAGAGTAAGCGCAAAGCACAGGGAAGGAGTTGGTACAAAAATGGAGTCCATGAAATAATGTTCCCTTAACATGGCGAATAATGTGAAGTATTGCTGCATAATGAGTGGAGCGAGGACCAGCCATAAACTGACTAACAATGTGAAGTACATATGCTATATCAAGGCGTGTCATAGTAAGATAAATTAGACTACCAACCGATTGCCGATAACGAGTAGGATCAAAAAGTGGAGAGCCATCCATAGGTGTAAGCTTGACATTAGGTTCAAGAGGTGTAGAAACACTCTTACCATCATTGAGTTCAGCTTTAGAAACAAGATCGGAGGCATACTTTACTTGAGAAAGCAGGTAGCCATCATCTGAAGAGGTCACTTCAAGCCCCAAAAAATAGCTCAGAACACCAAGATCTTTCATCTAAAATTTCTGACTGAGAGATTGTTTTAACTCCTCAACACCTGCAACATCATCTCCAATAATAATCATGTCATCAACATAAAGAAGTAAAAGAACCATACCCCAAACAGTCTTACGAATGAACAAAACTGTATCATGTGGACTGGAAGTAAAACCAAACTCACTCACAATAGTACTAAACTTTGCATATAAGGCTCGAGGGGATTGCTTCAACTCGTATAATGCACGGCGCAATTGACATACCTTGTTTGGAGGATGGTTAAGCCCAAGAGGTGGTTTCATATAAACTTTTTCTTCTAGGTCACCATTAAGCAAAGCATTTTTCACATTCATTTGAAACAATTTCCATCTCCGTATAATAGCGATAACAAGCAAACTATGCACAGATGTAAGACGAGCAACTGGAGCAAATGTCTTCTCATAGTTGATTCCATACTCCTATGTAAAACCCTTGGCAACCAAGCGTGCGTTATAACGCTCCAGAGAACCATCAGATCGTGTTTTAATCTTGTACACCCATTTACAACCTATTAGAGATTTTTCAGCAGGGAGATCAACTAAATCCCATGTACGAGTGTTCTTAAGAGCTTGTAATTCATCTTGCATAGCTTGTTGCCAAAGAGGGTTAGAAGAGGCCTCTTGATAGGATTGAGGCTTATGTAACGAAGTAATAGCAGGAAAACAATGATAATCATGAAGGTAGTTGAGAGGGTTTCTTACCTGAATAAGATGACTCGAGGATGGGACAACAAACTCATTTGTAGAATCAACAGGTGATATAGACAAGGAAGTAGAAGAAGGCTCAAAATTATCTAATGCATTACCAACAGGCAGGTCATCTTCTACAAAACTAGTTGGAGCATGTGGTGAGGCATTGTAGAGCTCATCAGATGTACCTACATTAGAATCACTAAGAAATAGTTCAATAGAAGGATTAGTAAAAATTGGAGGTTGATGAGAGGATGACACTTTGAAGTTTGACAATGATGAGAACATAGTGTGTTCCCAAAAGACAACATGATGTGAAACTCAGAGTTTTTGTGACATAGGATCCCAACAATGATATCCTTTTTGTGTAATCCCATAACCTAAAAAATAGCATAATCGAGCTCTAGGTTCTAACTTGTTATGTTCTAACTTGTTATGTTCATGAGGTGGAAGAAGAACAAAACATACATAGCCAAAAACCTTAAGAAGATTATAAGTAGGAAGAATACCATGTAGACGCTCGTATGAAGACTTGTTATTAAAGACTGATGATGGAATGCAATTAATAAGATAAACAGCTGTAAGAGCAGCTTCACCCTAAAATTGCTTTAGACAAGAAGATGAAATGAGCAGAGTACGAACAGAATCAAGGATGTGTCTATGTTTGCGTTCGGCTTGCCCATTTTGTTCAAAAGTATAAGGACAAGATTGTTGTGGTAGTGTACCCTGTTCTTTAAAAAAGGATTGAAGTTTAGTACCAAGAGATTTATAACATTGTCCGTTCTCAAAACTTTGATAATTTTAGAGAACTGAGTTTTGACCATGGTAGCAAAATCAATATAAATTTGTGATAATTTAGAGTCACTTTTCATAAAGTATATCTAGGTAAAACGAGTATGATCATCAATAAATAACACGAAGTACTTGGAAGCCCCCATGGTGGGTGTAGGAGATGGACCCCAAACATCAGAATGCACGAGAGCAAAAGGAGTAGTAGAATGAGAATGACTACTCGAAAAAGATAAAGCTGGTTGCTTTGCAGATTGACATGACACACAATGCACAGATTCATTCAAAATTGATCCTAATAAACCACGAGAGATAAGTGGATGAAGTTTATTGACTGAGGTATGTCCGAGTCGTGAGTGCCACAAATGGAGATGAGAAATGTTAATAGCAGCACAAGCTTGGAAGATTTGTTGATATGGAATTTGCAAAGACTCTAATTCAATAGCACAAAGCAAGGTTTGGATGAATTGATCATTTGGAAATGATGGTGTATCCATTTTATTATCAGGAATATGCAGATAGTTAAGCTCAAACAAACGCCCTACCTTGCGACCAGTTTCAAGAAGTTGTCCTATCCGTGGGTCCTGCACACGACAACCATGAGCAGAAAATGTTATTTCAAGACCAAGATCACATAATTGACCGATAGATAGAAGATTATAACTAAGTTTTGAAACTAAAAGGGCATTTGGTAAAGTCAATGACTTTGTAGGAACATTGCCAATGTGACTAACATTCATAGGGGAACCATCGGCAGAATAAATATCAGGAAAGGAATTATTAGGTGACATTGAAGAGAAATGAGTAGTAATTGAAGACATATGGTTACAACAACCAGAATCAAAATACCAAGGTTTGGTACCCGGAGCAATAAATAAGGTAGTAAGAGCATTAAAAAGATTTAATATCATATGTTTTAAGGATTCAAGGTTGACATTAGGTTGTTCTATTACTTCTTTGGCAACCATAGCAGTAGCAAGATGAGTTACAATCCTTTCAAAACTCGCCATAGAATCAGTAAACTCATAATACTGAAAAACTCTAAAAATATGAAGAAATAGATGCCAAGATCAAAATAACAAATTAACAAAATACCTTAGAAAGGGCTTGAGAATTGAGGATAAACAATCCAATCTGTAGGAGAAGAGATCCCAACAACAAAGTTTCAGATCTGAAATGGAATTGAAAATCCAACTCTAAAAAATCCAACAACGATGATAAGAGAAAAGAACCAAGAGTTTATAGCTATGATACCATGTTAGAAAACATAAAAGAAGAATAATTTGAAGAAAGATTTATTACTTTCTTGAATCATATTGTATGTACAATGACCTATATATAGGTGTTTACAAAGAGAATATTCTAAGGTATAAAATATACAAAGAGAATATTCTAAAGTATAAAATATTTACAATAATTCTAAATATAATTGTGTTCACATCTTAACAATCTGTCATTGCAAAAAGTCTACGTAAATAAAAAATATTGGAAGCGCTATGTGCATTATTGAAACTTTTCTCTTCATTGATTAATTCCATCTATTTTTTAATTTTTTTTTTCGAACAGAAAGAAAGTACACTCTCACTAGACTAGAGTGCAATTAGCATTTTTAGCAGGAAATTAATTAGGTAATGGCCTGTTTGGTGCAGTTTGTTGGAGTTTTTACTTTTTTTTTGTATTATTTATGAGTATAAGTTTAAATTTTTATTGGAGGAAAAATTTAAAAATTACTTTTAAAGATAAGAAAAAATGAGTAAAAAATGAATAAAAAGAAAGTTTATGAAAAGTAAATCTCGGATATACATTAATAAAAGCACTCACCATGGCACCTTCGGTATCCTGAGAATTACAACCAGAGATTTTGGATTTAAATTTTATAATATGCATGTAATTAATGTGAGTTAGAATATAAAAGAAAACTATTTTTTATTATTTTATTTAAAATAAAAAGAAAATTTTAGTATAATAAAAATAATATTGAATTATAAACGTAGGAACTGAAAAAAATTAATATGCCGTAATAATTAAAATATCTTGAATGATAATGAAAAATTAAAATATTTTTAATGAATTAATATATAAAAAATTTATTAAAAATATTTAAGAATTTTTACAAAATTTTTTAACATTTAAAATGTTAAAATATCTTTATTTTCAACTTCTTAGTAATTGGAATACACAGAGAACATAGTTTTAAATTAGCACTTATTGGTTCGGTAGAACTTTAATTAGCAGTTTTGGTTCCGCAGAACCTCTTTCAGCATAGGTCTGTTAGAATTTTTTTTTTTTTTTTTGATAAGAAGGTCTGGTAGAAATTTTCTTTGATGGGAAGGTCTGGTAGAAATTATTACACATAATTCCAGGGAAAGCGTCTGTAACACGTTTTATTATTACTTTATTTACATTATTCAAAATGGTCGTAACAAAGTTGCAACACAACATTAAAAAATGAAAAAAAAAAGTGGTGGCATGCTAGTCCTGGTGGTCCTCGTGACATATAAAATTATAATAGAAAATAATTAGGAGATATTTATTATGATAGAGTTTGTTTATTTTGTGTTTTTTAAAATAAAATAAAAAAATAATGATTGAGTAATAATTATAATATTTTTAAATGTAAAATTTTAAATAAAAATAATTTTTATTTTTAAATTTAAAATAAATTAATAAAAAAATTAACATATAACATTTATTATTAAAACAAAAATATACTTTATTATTTTTAAAATAAATAATAATAATAATAA